GACTTTGATTAAGAAACTGAAGAAGACATTGTTTAAGACTTGTTTTGTGGTCTTAGATATTGTCTCTCCTAGATATTGTTTCATGTGCAATTGACAAAAAGTTGTATTCTTGTTGGATGGGGTGTTCTACATTTGTTTGTTAGGTCCAACTAGGCTATCATGTTGTACAAGTTTTCTATTACTGGACTTCTTTCTAGCTGTTTTTCTCATTATTGAAAGTGGAATATTGATGTTTCCTACTATTATTATAGAGCTATTTCTCACTTTAACTCACTCAGTGCTTGCTTTTATATTTTGAATCTTTGATGTTTGGTGCATAGTTATTTATAATTATCATGTCTTCTTGGTGCAGTGATCTTTTAATTATCATATCATCTCCTTCTTTTACTGTAGTACCATTTTTGATTTAATGTATATTTTGTCTAATACTAGGATAGCCACCCTGCTTTTTTAGTTATTATTTGTATGGAATATTTTTCATCCTTTCACTTTCAACCTATGTGTTGCCCTAGATTTAATGTTACCTGTAGACAACAGAGTTGAGAATTAAAAAAATAGACAGCCTTTCCTGTATTTACAGATTGGCTCTGTGAAGGGAAAGGCCTTCATTAATCAGTCTGGCATGAAGACTTATGGTCTTATCAGGCCTTTCTGAGTTTGCCTGTTTCCTAGGCTTATATGTGTACTTTTCTCCCCATTCTCCCCATATACATGACTGCCTTTAACTGTCTCATATTCTTTAAGACTGTCATCTTTGCTTCTTAGGATCTTAGATGTTCTGTTCTATCCTCTGCCCATGATGTCTTGCCTCCAGCAGTCCATAAGTCTACAGCCTCCTGCAGGTCTTAAGGTCTTACATGCCACAGTGCCTGTCACTGACTCAGCAGCCTTCAACCTGATACCCAAACTATGCCACCATTTCCATCAAGAGAGGCAAGACAGAAACCAATCCCTCAGGAAGCCTCAGACAGGCCAGAACAATGCAAACAACTTACACCCTTTTCCTTCCATTGCACTGGAGGAATCAGGAATTGGACAGGTACCTCTTACTCATGCTCTGTCAAGGAAGGAGCAGGACATGGGTGAATAATAACACCCCCAAATTTTCTTCTGTATTGAGTGTGGCTTTTTCTTGGTTAGGCATTTTCTTGAATGGGCAAGTCCTTACCTGGTTTCTAGAGTTCCCACAAAGATACTTTGGTCAATGTTGTTTACTTTGTGCTTCCATAAGGGAAACATGGGGCTGGAGCTTCCTAGTCCACCACCTTCATGACACTCTTCAGCACTAGTATTTTATTTTTCTTATGATTAATAGCCTTCTGTAGTGGTCAATTCCTCTTATTATCTTTAAAAATGCTTCAATCTTGAAGGGAAGAGTAAGTACTGACTAGTACTGACTGCCTTGATTTTGGTTAATGTATGACAAAGCAATAGAGATCAAATGACTTATCCATTACCAGCAAATTTAGGGACTATCATTTATCAAATCACAATGTTTTTGAATGCTTATTTTGCTTGATGATTTAATTATACACAGTATTTTATAGATCTTTATACTTCATGTGTCTGAAAGGTGCCCTATATATAAAAATGGTGCTCAAAAATTGATGGCGATCTTAGTGACACATAGCCTATTTCTTGAAAGTGATAAGCTAAACCATAACCCACTTGGTTATGAAAGTTGATTTATATAAATAAAGATGACTTTGTATTCTTCAACTCTTTTATGGGGAAAAAAACAGGACTTCTATAGGTAATGTGTTTCCCTAGATATCTGAGTTCCTTACAAGATTTTAATATAAAGATTTGTCTTTGAACCATCAATCTTAACATAGAGAGTCAAAGGAAACTGAGATTTATTTAGTTTCTTTCCTTCAGAAATACCCTAGGTAATTCTCTTTGGGATTAATTATCTACTCTGTTATCTCCTCAAGTATACCATATATTCAGTTTGTTCTAGAGCATGTTCATATGCTCTTGTAGATATTTTTGTTTTCTGACTCTTTAATATCTCTGAATAAATTATATAATCACTCTCTTACCGCACATCTTTTTTCTGTCTGTATTGTATGTTCCACTAAGACCATGCATGTTTCTTGAGGACAGGGAACAAACTATGCTTTTTACAGTTATAGTGTTCCTAGCAAAGCATCTGTATTTAATCATCTTTCTCTGAGAAGTTATTATTCTTGATCACATAAGCAATGATGAATAGTGATGTTTAACCAATAAGCATGGGCAAAATAGAATCAAGGATGGATTTTCAGAAAACACACACATAAACATTGTTCATAAGCATGCAACAAATCATTTAACTAAAACTTACAAAGTTAAAGGTATTCTGTACGTTCTCTTTTGATACCTGCTGACTGTTTTTCAGGATTTGCCAAGAAGTTTTTGAATTTTAAGATTCTTGGCTGGCTGGTCTGAAGAATACTTAGTCCCTACAACTCATTAAATAGCAGACTATTGTACAAACCTAGAGAGATATGCCATATTCATGTGTTAACAAGGAAGGTTGCCAATAATTTCATTGAGTGGTATATTTAGTTTAGGACTTGACTCAAAGAAAGCATTGCATAATATTTGTGGGTAAAAGACTGTCAGTGGGAACTTCTTCCAATGTATATGCAAATTTAAGGGAGAAGACTAATTGAAGTAGTTGTCTAATGATTAGTATTGAAAGTCAGCCTCCAACTTTTAGGGTGGCTTTTTTCATTAATAGATCATTCTGAGTCTGGGTGATGTTTTCATCACTCCATAGTGGCAAGCAGTGGTTTGAGCAGAATCATGTCTCAACAAGATTTTAACTAAACTTCTCTCCTAACTATTCAGTCTCTTCTCCTTGGGACCTTGTACTTTAACAGCACAGGTATCTATGATTCTGATGATTCTGTATGTTATTATGTTGCCAAGAAACACAGCATATTAGCAGACATCTTCTGGAGACATACTATAATTTGCTATCTTGTAGAAATCATTTCACCGGGAGGCATTTTGGCACTAAGATGAATATTTGGGGTCTCTTTGTAATTCCTCAAGCCATAGCTGAAAGACTACAGCCCAGTCCTCCTTAGTAATGGAACATAGGCCCTCTTCTCACAATTTAGGGAGCTAATATTTTAAAATAAATATAATATTTTGAAATTAATGGGCCTTACCATAAACCTTTTTTTTTTTTCTCTCATGGAACACTTTGTTTCTAAAGTTTAGCCCAGGGCTGAAGGTGGTCCAAAAAAGTCTAATCTATGACTTTCCTATTTTAGATTCAATTTGAAAGTAAACAAAAAATGGAAAAAACAAACACATAAAACAAAAGCAATTCCTGGACTTCAAAGATGGCCCAGGTGTTTCTTTAGCTATCAACTATTTTATCTTGAATTTCTAAAAACAAAAAACTTCTTATATATTTTTTTATATTGAGGTGGATACAATAAAATGCATGAATTAGTGTATAGTTAGATGGTTTTGACATGGGCACATACTCATATATCCATCACCCAGATCAAGATATCAAATATTCTAAATTTTTTCCCTTCACCTGTTTCACCCATTCCCTCATCTCCCTCCCCTATAACTACCAGTCTGTTCTGAGTTTATTTCAATTTTGTTTGTTCATTTGTTTTTAAGACTCCAAATGTAAGTGAAATCATGCAGTATTTTTCTTTTTCTGACTTATTTCACTCATATAATACCCTCTGGGTCCATCCATGTTGTCACAAATGGCAAGATTTTATTCTTTGGTATGGCTAATATTCCATTATATAAACGTACCACATTATCTTTACCCATTCATTTATTAGTGGGTACTTTTAGGTTGCCTCTATATTTTGGCTACTGTAAATGTGATAAAAATACTAGTGTTTGTGTGTGTGTGTGTGTGTGTGTGTGTCTTCAGACTAATTATTTTGTTCAGGTAAATTCCCAGAAGTGGGATTACTGGGTCATATGTTACTTCTATTTTTAGATTTTTGAAAAACCTCCATACTTCTTTCCATAGCAGCTGCACCAATTTAAAATCTTACCATCAGTGTATGAGTGTTCTCTTTTCTCCACATCCTCAGACCAATACTTGTTTCCCCTTTTGTTGATATCAGACACTGACTAGTGTAAGGTGATATTTCATTGTGGTTTTAATTTTCCTTCCCCTGATGATGTGATGTTGAGCATCTTTTTATATATGTATTGGCTATCTGTCCTTGGAAAAATACCTATGTAGGCCCTCTGCCCACTCTTAATCAGATTTTTTGTTGAGTTGAATGAGTTGTTTATATATTTTGGTTAGTAGTGCTTATTGGATATATCATTTGTAAATATATTCTCCCATTCAGTAGATTGCCTTTTCATTTTTTTTGGTTTCCTTTGCCATGCAAAAGCTTTTTAGTTTGATGTAGTCCTATTTATTTTTGCTTTAGTTTCCCTTATCTTGAGAACATGTATCCAGAAAAACATTTGATACTAATATTCAAGAGCCTGTTTTTTCTTCTAGGAGTTTTATGGCTTCAGGTCTCATATTTAGATCTTTAATCCATTTTGAGGAGTTTATTTGTGTAGATGACATAAGACTGGTCCAGTTCATTCTTTTGCATATAGCTATCCAGATTTCCCAGCACCACTTATTGAAGAGACTGTCTTTTCCCCATTAGATATTCTTGCCTTATTTGTCATGTGTTTTAATTGACCATACAGGTTTTTGGTTTATTTCTGGGCTCTATTCTGTTCCCTTGCTCTATGTATCTGTTCTTGTGCCAAGACCATACTGTTTTGATTACTGTAGCTTTGTAATATGGTTTGAAATCAGGGAGCTTGATACTCCTAGCTTTGTTCTTTCTCACAATTGCTTTGGTTTTTATGGGTGGGTGGGTGGGTGGTCTTTCACAGTTCCATATGAATTTTATGAATATTTGGTATAGTCTTTTTTTAAACATTTTTAACCAATTTATAAGAAGATGCTCTAATCTTTTATTATTCATTTAAAGAAAGAAAACATTCTTCAGAAGTCAAGATTAAATGTGTTTATTTTGAGTTAGTGGATACAATGGCATATTAGATATCAGCACTCCAAGCTACACCTATGTATTTGCCTCTAAACCTTCACACATTGTCAGCTTCCATTCCTCTAACATTTCACCAATGGACCACCTATTTCTAGCAAACTCATAGTTGAAAAAAAAGGCAGGCTTGATCACCATATTGTGCTTCCAGTGCCCCACAGAAGATAACTGTCTTAAATAAATGTTTGCTGTTTTCAGTAAAGGGGGAAAAATTGATAGCATGAGCACTAGTAATGGCACTACCAGAAGAAAAAGAACAGAATACAGATTAAAAGAAGCATTTTGGCTGGATGAGTTAGTTTCCGCTTAGTAAAAAAATCCACATAATATTATTGATAAGACTTCAAAGTTAAATTGTTCAATTTGTGGGCCACACACTTAAGCGTATTGGCTAGTACATTTTTGCACTGAAACAGAAGCAATACAAGCTTTATGTTCTACCATTACACTTCCAGATTTTTCACTTATTGATATACCTGCCAACTTAGTGATTCTTGCATGCATTAGAGTTTGCTTTTGTAGAGTTATTTTCCCCAACCCTCCCACTCCCATAAACATTGTGATGTGAACCCTTTGTCCAATTTTGTGAGAATGTTGCAAAGGACAGCTCTGTGCGACCTCAGGACAGGAATTCCCTGTCTTCTCCCTGGGCTACTGATGGATCAGTAGTGTTGATTGCACCTCATCTTACATGCAAACAGACACTGCTCCCTTAATTTCCCCATGCCAGAGGCATATGAGTTGGCAGGTATGCATACAAAACTGGAATTAAAAAGAAAAGGAAAGGAAAAAAAGAAAGAAAAAGCTTTCTTGTTAAAGCCTATCATCCTAGAAGGAATCCATTGCTTTGAATTCACTTAAAGCCTGTACAGGCGAAATGTGTTTCTTCTGAGAACCTCGTCTAACGCGCGTCTGGAATTCTTCAGGCTTTTCTCTCTTCACAAGGGGCTTCTTCTCTGGAGCCTTCATCTTCCAAGATACAACAGGGGAGTTGACAGCTGCTGTCCCATAGACCTTCTGGTATTTGGTTGAGGCCACATAGGATGCTTTCACCGTAAGGACAACAGCATTCATTAGGTTTTTAGCTGCCTGAATAAGTGAGGTGGCGCTGTCCAGCTAGAGCAGGAGGAAAATAATGAGATGCATGGGGTTAGTCACAGGACATATGCACAAGATGGTGAAGCAATTTCAGTTAAAACAGTGTGCTTGTGCAAGTATATAGTATTACATTATATAATAATTTGATTTTTTTGGTAATATTGGACTGCTATAATGTAGTAATTGGCCTGCCATAAAGCAGTCACCTATCCTCTATCCTTAATACCAAGGTAAGAAGGAAAAAGGATGCTCTGTGATGCCTCGCTTTCTAAAATCTCAATACCGTGAAATATAAAGCCCTCTGTTAACATGTAAGAATTCCAAAGTAACAAAAGTTTTCCAAAGTGGAACATCTGATGTTATTACTTTAGGCTGCTTGGTAATGGTGACAATTACTCAAATATTTTAAAAAGCATTTGGCAGGCACTGTAGAATAAAAAGGCATATGGGGTTACATCTCAATTTTGTGCACCCCCCAAGCCCCCCCCCACAAGTAGAAGTATCTATAGACCATTTCTTCATCCTGAGCTGAGGATACAGTGGCATATTAGATACCAGCACTCCAAGCTAGACCTATGTATTTGCCATCTATGATACCAGCAGTAGGCAGAGAACATGCCCATGGTGTGCTGGCTTTTACTTAGGTGTCGAATATCTGTTTGTTCCTATATCTTTAATATACCCCTGATAAAAAATAATAATTATGTCAGGCTCTTGTAGGTCAGAGAATATCCAGTAAGATCCCCATTTCCATGTGTTTCAGTGCTTCATATTTCCTCGTTTAACTCACACCCACCCTGTGAAGTAGGTATTAGTGTCATTTCATTTAACGAGAAGAGAGCTGGTGCAGGAGGAGGTCCAGAAACATCCACAGGTTTACACAGCTTAAGTAATGAGACCCTTAAAGAGCATACTGTACTGCCACCCAGTTAGGAAGGATATCTTTTAAAACGCTATGACAAGTCACAATGTAGGGCAGAGTATGTTTAGAAGCTCATCCCCAGACTCTCAGTTCAAGGGATTTTTTTGGGTCACTTCTTTTTTGATTTAACCAATTAGTGTGGTAAATGCCATGCGATGTCTGTTTCATTCCCTTCCTCACTTCCTGGGCCACAGATGCTAGAAATGGTCAAAAGTACATTTCTGACATCCTTTCAGCCAGAATTCTACATGGGACCTAATGAGGAAAGAAGCACCAGCTGGACTGGAAATATTACTCTAGCCTGAGGGATGCGTGAACATTGTTGGTTCATCAAACATCTTGTAATACCAACTAAGGAAACAAATCCATTACAGTTAAATGAGGGACATAAGGATGTTCCTAAGTAATGTTGTTCCCAGTTGCTGAGATTGTTTACTGTACGACCTTATTGGTGGGCTATAGGTGCTTTCGCAAAGGGGTGTTAGGCATGTGCCCTCCTGAATGTGAGGTGATTCGCAAAGTGTGTAAGCTGAAGGACCCCAAACACTTTGGCTAGCCTGTGATGTGAGCGGCACTCATTGTAGCCTCTTCCTTTCTGGTGACCAAATATCACATCCCAAGCAGTGACTGGGCACATCAGAAGTTATTCCAAGGCCTCTGTGATGCTCTTGCTCACTCTCTATGCTGTATCCTTTATTAAAGCTAAGTAAATATTCCACTAGTTTTTAAAAAAATCCATAACAAATGAGTTCACTTCCTCTATCACCAGAAAAGCCCACAAAGTTAGATTATTAGTGAAAAACTAACAATGGAAGATGTTTTCTGTGTATAAAATTGTAATACCATAAAATTGAGGTTTCACCATTAAAAAAAATAATAAAGGTCAGTATTACATTGACCTAACAATAATAGAGATTTATGGGTTAGATGATTCAGCAAGTATATAATTGCATTTTGAGTTAAATCAACCAGATTGAGTAACTACTTCACCACTTCTAGTACACTGTATGAGGAACACATATACCAAAGTCACAGCTGAACCCACAAGTTTCTAAGGCCAGCTAAGGAAAAGTAAATTCTAGATTATTCACATTCATAGAAGAGAAGGCCAAGCATGGATTAGCACAGTGATTCTCAAAGCATTGTCTCTGAACCAGCTCTTTCAGTATCACCTGGGGACCTGTTAGAAATGCAGTTTCTCAAGCCAGCCCCAAACTTTTTGAATCAAAAATTTACAGTCCAGGGGATTCTGATGCAGGCCATAGCTTGAGAACTACTGGATTAATGAAACTCAGGGACTACCTGAAGGCTTATTTTATCCAGTGATTTCAGGACTCCCACTATGCACAAGTTTGGTAACTTGTGTTACCTGACTGAAGTTTACTTTTTTATCTTTGCTGTTATACCCCCAATAAAAGTGTGAATAATGAAGGAAAATGATAAGACAGCAAAATGTTGGGGCAATTAGGAGATCAGTCATGGTTCATGGTTTCTTTAGGAGTTTGATACAATACCCTTTGGCCAACTGACAGTTCCCTGTAAGTCTGTCAGGTTTCAAAAATGAATAACATTCACAAAGTTAGTTAATTCTGTTGTGTCCTCTGGGTAAAATGATATTATATCAGGGACAGTTCTGTTGATGTGCTTCAGGGAAGGAGAATTAGTAGAAGTGGAAGAATAAGACAAGATATGTCTGTTGTATTATTAAGTTGAGTGGATCTGAAGAGAGGGACTACAAGTAATTTGGAGATTTTTACCACATATCCCATTTTCAGATAGATGGTGTCTAATTCTGCAGCAAAAATATGATAGTCTGTCTCTTCTTCACAACCCCTTTGCTCTCCCAGCCTGAGGCAGGAACCCTGTGAACAAACCTAACACATCGGTTGAAAGTGAGACAGCTTTGAGGTATAGAAAAAACCCAGTGATTTTATTTGAGTCACCCGGAAGGGCAGATTTGAATTCGTGGCAAGGATAAAGCAAGGAGGTAAAGGGCCTGGTCAGCTAAACCTGAACAAATATATTCCCGGACAATAAGCCCAAACTACAGTTATTATGAAATTGGACTTTTTCTTAAAATGAAATTTCCAAAGGATAAATTTGGTCATTTTTCTTATACCCATTTTAGCAGCACAATCAGAATTTATTTCAAAATGGCTTAGTTTATGCTTGTCCAGAATAGCACTGGGACCTGGTTTCCGAATGGGTATGTTTTGTTAAAAATCACTTTACATTGAAACTATGGGGCAAGAATTTTTTTTTTTAATACAGGCTTAGGAAAACATTGCTTATTTAACGTAAGTGCATTCTATTCTGTGATTTATACTGCGACTACATTTTCAAATTAGATATGTAAATAGATATGTTATTAGCCAATGAAAACATTAATGGAGCACTCACTAGGTCTTGGCATTGCTTTAGCGCTTGTAATGGACATGCATGGCTTAAATTTCAAAAGTCCTTGAAGGAGGAAGTATCATTATCCCCATTTTACAGGTGAGGACAGTGAAGCTTAGGTAATGTAACTTGCGCCTGCAGTAACTGGCAAACGAGGGATAGGAACCATCTCTCTCTCTCTCTCTCAAGCCCATCCTCTGAACCACCACACTGCCCTACTTCTCTGAAGCATCAGTTAATCTCTGGAGTCTAATTTTTCAGTGGCTATCTTCATTCCAAATGTATGTGTTTCAGTTAACTCTGTCTGGGTGGAAGCTTCTCCTTTAAAACTGGACTAAGTCTGGTGAGAGCCTCCATCTCACCTGGTCTGATTCTTAGTCCCGTCCTCGGACCCTACATTCTTCCTTTCTAGATGTCCTGGCCTTGGGTGTGCTCAGCCCTTCTCTGTCCTTTTACCTACCTTCCTGCCCAGGCTTCATGCTCACGACAGCAGGACCTGGAGTCTGATCCCTGCAGATTTCCTTTGTACGAATTCAGTTTCTCTGAAGCGCATTCACTACACAGCTGTAACAACTGGGTGCACCCTGGGAGGGGCTCAGCTCTCATGAGTGCCCTCAGCGTTTATCAGGCTTGGTCTTGGAAGCTTCAGAGGACCACTCCTCAAGCTGGCTAGCATGTACACTGACTGGACCCTCCAGCCCAGAGAGATTGCTACCTTTTCATTAGTACTGTATTGTGTCCCATTCAGTTCCTGTATCTAGTCTAAGAGAATCAGCTAATTTTTGGTTAACTTAAAAAATAAGAGCCTGCTTTCAGCAAATGCGACTGTGAGCCGGTCTCTGGCTATCGCTCTGTGAGTTTCCTCACGCTCCTTCAATCTCACAACCCCCGAGACAGTTAATGCTGCTATGCTCAGCTGGGACTTAGAGGGGTCATATAGCTTCTCCCTTCACATTGGAGGCAAGTAGCAAGCCAAGATTTGAGCCCAGGCAGCCTAACTCCAGGTCTGACGCACTAACCATTGTCTGATCTGCTTCCCAGTGCCACGCATGGCAGATGAATCCACAGTCCAGAAATCTACGAAACTGTGCCAGACTAATTTCCCCTATTCGGTGTCATAGGTGTCTGCTGTGCCTAACCACAGAAATTAGGTTTCTCTTAATTCTGTCACTATGTTTTAAAATAGCGAATTACTATTTTAAAAAGGCAACAGATGTTTCCTCACATCTTGTTCTGTTGCAGTCTATGAAAAGCAAATAAGGGCTAGAAGCTGTTTTACAGCCATTTCTACAGGGTTTTTCTGGCTCTTTTTCTGCCTCTACTATTCCCATTCTTTTCCTCTTTAAATCCACTCAACTTCTGATAGATTTATCTTTGCCTACACTACCCTTGTTTTGTATTTTGAAGGGAAAGAAATTCTAAAGGGAAGACTTTCTGGAGTTGATTCTTCCACTAATCGATATTTGTGCTGTCTTATTCCTTACATCAAAGATGAAGATTGTTGGGAGAAGTGCCTAAAATGGCTCTTACAATTTACATGATCATCTGAAGGTTTCTGAAACCCTATGTCATACGTTTCATGCCATTTCATCAACTCAGCATCTACCTTGGAAGAGATGCTCAGTTGCAGTAGTGACAGCATTTGACACAGTGACTTTGCCCTCACAAATGAATAGGCAGCTACGTTTCTTGAAATGCT